TTTTTCGGTTTCTCGATGTGTTATGTCTCATGTTTTTGAATTACTTATTCTAAGTTTCGATTTTTCAATTTTCTAATTTTTTAGTTTTCGAGTTTCGGCTGCTCGATTTGTTGATTTCTTAGTTTTTCGATTTTTTAATGTTTCGATTTCTCCATTTTTCTATTTTACGATATTGTAATTTTTCAATGTTTTTAATTTTAGATTATTTCAGTTTTTCAGTTCTTCAATTTTTCGATTGTTCAGGTTTTTGATTTTTTAATTTTTCGATTTTTTAAATTTGTTATTTTTCGACTTTGCTTTTTTGACTTTTCGATTTCCCAATTTTTCAGTTTTTTAATTTTTAACTCGCCCAAAAATTGTTCCTGGTGGGTAGACTTTCGGAAAAAACACAAGTGGAACTGACAGAAGCGCAAGCTGAAGAATTCCTCATCAAGGAGTTGAACACGGCGGCTGATAACTTCAAGAATAAAAAAATTCCCAGTCCAGACGGAGTAACTCCAGATACAAAAATACTAGGGACAATGAATCATGCATCAAGGAAAGGATAAATTCCTGCCGAATGGAAAGAAGTCCAGTTGGTACTCCTGGAGAAACGGTCAAAAAACAAAAACAAAAAATCATCAACGATTATTAGCCCCGTTCCAATGCAAACTTCAAACACATTTCGCCTTCCCTTTTAACCCAACAACACCTCTTAATAAACTTAAACTCAAAAACAAACAATCGTTAAATTTTAACCAGTTTTGATAATTCATGGCCACTGAACTTGACTGATGGAACAAAATTACCACATCCTTTTATTGTCGTAACATCCTTGGTAGACCGTTTTATAAGCTGCACTCGCGGCCTCCAAAACCCATCTAAAGTGGCCTAATTCTATTATAACAGCGCAAACACAAGATACGATGTTTGATTAAAAGGAAAAAATCGTGATTTGTGAATAAACTAACCATGTAATTTAAGCTCCTCACTCAATTGCAAAAACACCATATTCGTGAACGGATTAGTTCCGGCAGAAATCCACTCGAACATAAATCAAAGAAAATAAATTATTAAGCCGCAGCCGATACAACAATAACTATCAGAGCAACTATTTGACATTCGAAACTAATGAGCTGTCATTAACAGCCAGCAGAAGAAAGAACGTTTCCTGAAAGACTCCTCTCAGAAAGTTTTGCAAGGTTTAATGCAGTTGGGGAAATAATGCTCTTGCTCGCCCACAAACATAAAACGACAGACTTTGGAAAATTCTGGCTATTTTGGCTTTTTACTTCCCGAGCGTAAGCAAAGGAAGTATTGTAATCGAGTCCGTCGGCCGACTCTCTACTTTTACGTTTTCTCGATCTTTCATGACCTCTAGAAGACGAAGAAATAGGTCTCCTATTTCCGTCTCTCTGTCCGTCTGTCCGTCTGTCCGTCCGTCTGTCCGTCCGTCTGTCCGTCTGCCGTCCCGGATTTTTATTAGACAGATAATCTCCGAAAGTACTCGACCGATTGTTGCGAAATTTTGTACTTATATTAAGAATATCATGTAGATGGTAAAACGCTAACCAAAATTTGTCTAATCATCCCCACCACTAATGCGATGACGTCACTTCAAAATTGTACATAGTAAATGGGTTTTCAATTGTATAAAATAACATAGTCCTACACATGTAGTTTACAACTCTGAATCGACTTTTCACCCGAAACGTCCAGATTTTTGGAAAAAAAATCAAAATTATAAAACAACATTTTGAAATTTAATTTTTAATCTGCTAAACAGAATGCTTTGAAATGTTGCAGATGTTTTAAGGCTATAAAGAGCATCATAAATCTTTAGTCAAAAAATATTTGCTTATCCCCTCCAAAAACTTGATGACGTCAGCTCAAAAGTTTGTGGAATAAATCATATCTAAAATGTACAAAATATGATGAGTCTGTACTTGTGGTCTATCACTCCATTCATATTTTTTGGATTTGCATATACAGGGTGACTCAAAAAAATTAATGAATGCGTAAATATATTTTATTGATTTAATCAGGAACTACAAAACCGAATGCTCTGAAATCTTGCAGATGTTTTAAGGTCATAAAGAGCATAATAAATGTTTAGTCAAAATATATTTGCTTATCCCCTCCAAAAACTTGATGACGTCAGCTCGAAAGTTTGCCGAATAAATCATATCTAAAATGTACAAAATATGATGAATCTGTACTTGTCATTTATCACTCCATTCATATTTTTTGGTTTGCATATATAGAGTGACTCAAAAAAATTAATGAATGCGTAAATATATTTTATTGATTTAATCAGGAACTACAAAACGGAATGCTCTGACATCTTGCAGATGTTTAAAGGTTATAAAGAGCAGAATAAATGTTTAGTCAAAATATATTTGCTTATCCCCTCCAAAAACTTGATGACGTCAGCTCGAAAATTTGCCGAATAAATCATATCTAAAATGTACAAAATATGATCAGTCTGTACTTGTGATCTATCACTCCATTCATATTTTTTGGATTTGCATATACAGGGTGATTCAAGAAAATAAATGAAAGCGTAAATTTATTTTACTGATTTACTCAGGAACTACAAAACCGAATGCTTCGAAATCTTGAAGATATTTTAAAATTATCATAAGCATGGTAAATTTTTGATCAAAACGTATTTGGTCGTCCCCCCTAAAAAATTTATGACGTCACCACAAAATTTTGCTGAATAAATCCTATCTAAAATGTACAAAATATGGTGAGTCTCTTCTTGTGATTTATCATTCCATTCAAATTTTTTCGATTTGCATATACAGGGTGACTCAAAAAAATTAATGAATGCGTAAATTTATTTTATTGATTTAATCAGGAACTACAAAACCGAATGCTTTGAAATCTTGCAGATATTTTAAGGTTATAAAGAGCATAATAAATTTTTAGTCAAAATATATTTGGTTATCTTCTACAAAAAACTGATGACGTCAGCTCAAAAGTTTGCCGAATAAATCGTATCTAAAATGTACAAAATATGATGAGTCTGTACTTGTGATTTATCATTCCATTCATATTTTTGGATTTGCATATGCAGGGTGACTCAAAAAAATTAATGAAGGCGTGAATTTATTTTATCGATTTAATCAGGAATTACAAAACCGAATGCTTTGAAATCTTGGGAATATTTTAAAGTTATTTTAAGCATGGTAAACTTTTGTTCAAAATGTATTTGTTCATCCCTCCTAAAAAAATTGATGACGTCACCCTTAAATTTTGCTGAATAAATCCTATCTAAAATGCAAAAAATATGATGAGTTTGTACTTGTGATTTATCATTCCATTCATATTTTTTAGATTTTCTTAAGAGGTGGTTCAAAAAAATTAATGAAGTCAATTTATTTTATTGATTAAATTAAAGGCAACACTTATTATTAGTATTACACCCCAACCAACCCAATTTGGTAGACACAAAATTTGTTAAAGGAAAAACTCGGTTGAAACATAAGGGTAGCATCGCTTATTTACATCGACTTTAACATTACAGACCTGCATTTGTTTTATTCGTTCATTTGGTTCCGCGAATGTGAAATAGACATGTTTATAATCAACCAATTGTGAATTTCACCGTCAAGAATTAAAATAAAACCCAATGTTTTATATAATAAGCGGAAGTCGAAGCAATAAAACCGACGGTCGTTTTGTTTACAGTTTCTGTGTTTGGCTCTCACGTATGCTGTTACGCCTGTCATCTTAAATTAACAATGTTTATACATACACGATTTTCAGTTGCCTCTGATACGTAGGTATACGTGAGTAAATTGTTTCGTTATTTTATTGATTATTACAAATCAATATTCAAACGACCCAATTCATTTTCCCGAAAATTTGAGAATATAATAATTTTATTCTTAGTATTACACTACATCTATCCCAACTGATATACGTGTCCTTGCAAAAATGTTGATGACGTCATCGCAATTTTTTTTTAAATTCCCACTACAAAAATGTAATGAGAAAAAAAACACAATAGGCATGCAGTCGTCAAGTTTCCGACAGCGAGGGAAGTACTGTCTAAACTCTTTAGACCAATTTTTTAGATTTTCTTAAGAGGTGGTTCAAAAAAATTAATGAAGTCAATTTATTTTATTGATTAAATTAAAGGCAACACTTATTATTAGTATTACACCCCAACCAACCCAATTTGGTAGACACAAAATTTGTTAAAGGAAAAACTCGGTTGAAACATAAGGGTAGCACGCTTATTTACATCGACTTTAACATTACAGACCTGCATTTGTTTTATGCGCTCACTTGGTTCCGCGAATGTGAAATAGACATGTTTATAATCAACCAATTGTGAATTTCACCGTCAAGAATTAAAATAAAACCCAATGTTTTATATAATAAGCGGAAGTCGAAGCAATAAAACCGATGGTCGTTTTGTTTACAGTTTCTCTGTTTGACTCTCATGCACGTATGCTGTTACGCTTGTCATCTTAAATTAAGAATGTTTAAACATAAACGATTTTCAGTTGCCGTATACGTGAGTAAATTGTTTCGTTATTTTATTGATTATAAAAAATCAATATTCAAAACGACCCAATTCATTTTCCCGAAAATTTGGGAATACAATAATTTTGTTCTTAGTATTACACTACATCTATCCCAACTGATATACGTGTCCTTGCAAAAATGTTGATGACGTCATCGCAATTTTTTTTAAATTCCCACTACAAAAATGTAATGAGAAAAAAACACAATAGGCATGCAGTCGTGAAGTTTCCGACAGCGAGGGAAGTACTGTCTAAACTCTTTAGACCAATTTTTTTTAGCCCAAAATCCTCCTTTACTGATTAGCCAAGTTTGTCACCGCCTCGTTAAAAACGCCGCTCGGCTAGTTTGCGGTCTCGGCAATTACGCCACCATAAATAATAATCGCAATTAACATCATTGCCTACACGGGCTCATTAATCACTGTTTGTCCGTAATATTAAGCCGATTTATGACACTTGTCCTAAACGATCCCGTTTCAGGCTCGACAAACTTGGTGGGCAAGTTCACCCAGAGCGTTCGAAGGATCGTCCAGGACGTCAAGGATGAGGGAACCGCTAGCGGTCAGACGAAGGAGGAGGTCATCGAAACTAATGAGAGACTCCGGGCAGTGAGGGTCCGGTTGGACGAGTCGTACGACACTGCAAAAAAGGCCCTCGTCACCCTCATGGGCAAGTATAACGACAGCAAGAGCGTCCACAACATCTTCCAGAGATACAACTTGTTGAAAGCCATGATTAAGGTAAGGTCTTCGTGGATTCGCTGGGTTTTAATTAAACTGGTTGCGTTAATTTATTCTTCGGCCGTAATCGAATGGCAATCGGTGTAATCTGTTTAAATTATTAACTGGAGTTGACGATCGGCTCGATGAGAACAAAGCAATTGTAACTCAGAGTTAAGGTTAACGGAGTAAAGTTGCGGAGTTCGTAGGGAACTAATCAAACTTTATTAGGGATTGTGTGTGGGGAAATGCAGGCGCTAACTTGGAAGATAATTAGGTGTTTATGTGCATCGGACTGCAGTGCGGACTTTGTTGGGAATTCTTATTTAAAAGGGTGTTGCAGTTGGTGGAGGAAAAGAGCCGCAGTGGATTTTATGGAGGAAGTTTTTAGTTCGGACGTGATCAGTATTGATTGTAAAATGCACTCAGTTGAGCAAAATGCAGGTTGAACCATTAATGATTTAAGAATTTGCGGCATAAATAAAATTCGGAGAAAACTTTAACAAATCGGAATTAGTACGACAGTGTTTCCACGAAATTGATATAAAATTTAACAAAAATTTTATTGGCTTTAATTCAGTTTATTGTCGCTGTTACTCATAATTGTACACAATTCGTTACGCTTTGTTTCATAACGGTAATGAAAACTTGTTAAAAAATTTAATATTCTCGAGTCTTAATTTAACAAAGGTTAATTGAAGAACAAAGGAAAATCGACCATTTACGTCGAAAAAAAAAATAAAAAAATTCTTTATGGTGTAGATTACGAAAAAAAAACGAAATTTGATAACAACCAGTATCCATTAATCGTTGTGCATTATTGTTAATAAAATAAGCTGTTATTTTTCATTAATAGATAAACCAAAAAAAAAATTAATAAGAAGTTTATAAATTGTAAACAAAAACAAAACCAACAAAAGAAAAACTCATTAAAGCATAAACAACCAAACACTAGAGAAGATGATCAAAATTTCTGGCTTGTGGAGGGAGAGAGGGTGGGTGGGCGGGGCTAGTAGCTGTCAAGATCAGACTGACTTTGGCAAATGAGATATCTTCTAAAAAATAGCGGGTGGATGGGCGGGGCTAGTAGTACTTGCTAAGATAAGACTTCACAATGTTAAAAGCAGTCATTGAAATTATGAGGGGATAGGTGGGCGGGGCTACTGCTTCTTTTAAGACTCTTTAGAAAAAAACTAAACTCAGTCCAGCCCAATTCTTTTCTCTATTTCACTGATTATTTTGACAAGCTGTAAAATGTAAGATTTAAAACAAATTAAAAAGCGGCCCCACCCACCCACCCCTATTCCGTTTTGATCATTCATTCTTATTGGCTCTGAAGAACGGAAGTTGGATTCTATATTGATAAATGATAGATGTTTTACAGTTACATACTACAAGTTGTAGAATCCAAAATTTAAAAAAAAGTAAAAAATGTCACCGCCCACCCACCCCTATTCCGTTTTGTTCATTCAGGCTTATTGGCTCTGAAGAAGGGAAGTTGGAATTTATATTGATAAATGAATAATACAATCTAGGATTACATTTTTTTTAATATAATTTAATTTATACTAAATTGTTTCAATTTTCAAATTTTGCAATTTTTCGATCAACAATTTCACGGGTTCTCAATTTTTAATTGTTCAGCTTTTAATTTTTTGCGGGTCTAGTACTTGCTAAGATAAGACTAATTTTCAATTTTGTGATTTTTCAGTTTTTCGATATTTCAATTTTGGGACTTTTTAGTATTTCGACTTTTCGATCCTTTGAGTTCTCGATTTTTCGATTTCTCGACTTTTTACTTTTCGGATTTTTAATTTTTTGTTTTTTAACTTTCGATTTCTCAATTTTTCGACTGTTTTATACTTCGATTTCCCAATTTTTCAACTTTTGGATAATTCAAGTTTTCAATTTTTAAAATTTTAGGTTTTACGATTTCTCGAGATTTCAGTTGTTCTATAGACATTATCATTGTCTGTTGGCAAATAAATTCTATTTATTATTATTATTATATTTAAAATTTTCAATTTTTGGAGTTTTTAAATTTTCGATTTTCCAATTTGTTTTTAATTTTTTGGTTTTCCAATTTTTCGATGTCTTTTTCGATTTTTCGATCTTACGATTTTATAAATTTTTTTGTTTCTTCAATTTCATTTTTTTCGATTTACCGATTTCTCAGTTTTCAGTTCTTTTTGTTTCAGTTTCTCAATGTTCAAATTTTTCAATTTTTCGATTTCTCGATTTATCTATTTTTCGACATTTCAGTTTTCGATATTTTTCTATTTACTAAATTTTACATTTTTTGATTTTTCAATTTTTAGATTTTACGATTCTTTGATGTTTCGATTTCGTGATTTTAATTTGATTTATTGATTCAATTTTTCGATTTTTTGATTTCCCGTTTTTTCTGATGTTTCAGTTTTTCGGTTTTTTAATTTTTAGATTTTCTGATTTTCAATATCTTGATTTATCGAGATTTCGATGTTTCGATTTTTCAATTGTTCAATTTCCCCATTTTTTAATTTTTCGAGGTTCTGGTTTATCGAATTACGATTTCTCTATTTTGATTGTTTCGACTTCTCGACTTTTCGATTTCTTGTTTTTTTTATTTTTTGGATTTTCGATTTTTCGGTGTTTCAATTTTTCAATTTTTCGATTTCCAAATTTTTAGACATTTCAGTTTTGAGATTTTCCAATTACTCGATTTTTTAATTTTTCGAATCTTGAATTTTCCACTTCTCCCAATTTTCGATTTGCAATTTTTGGTTCCGGTTTTTTATTCTCTGCACTTTAACCATTTTTCGATTTTTACTTCCCGAGCGTAAGCAAAGGAAGTATTGTAATCGAGTCCGTCGGCCGACTCTCTACTTTTACGTTTTCTCGATCTTTCATGACCCCTAGAAGACGAAGAAATAGGTCTCCCATTTCCGTCTGTCTGTCCGTCTGTCCGTCTGTCCGTCTGTCCGTCTGTCCGTCTGTCCGTCTGTCCGTCTGTCCGTCCGTCTGTCCGTCTGTCCGTCTGTTGTCACGGATTTTTATTAGACAGATAATCTCCGAAAGTACTCGACCGATTGTTGTGAAATTTTGTACTTATATTAAGAATATCATGTAGATGGTAAAACGCTAACCAAAATTTGTCGAATCATCCCCACCACTAAAGCGATGACGTCACTTCAAAATTGTACATAGTAAATGGGTTTTCAATTGTATAAAATAACATAGTCCTACACATGTAGTTTACAACTCTGAATCGACTTTTCACCCGAAACGTCCAGATTTTTGGAAAAAAAATCAAAATTATAAAACAACATTTTGAAATTTAATTTTTAATCTGCTAACCAGAATGCTTTGAAATGTTGCAGATGTTTTAAGGCTATAAAGAGCATCATAAATCTTTAGTCAAAAAATATTTGCTTATCCCCTCCAAAAACTTGATGACGTCAGCTCAAAAGTTTGTGGAATAAATCATATCTAAAATGTACAAAATATGATGAGTCTGTACTTGTGAACTATCACTCCATTAATATTTTTTGGATTTGCATATACAGGGTGACTCAAAAAAATTAATGAATGCGTAAATATATTTTATTGATTTAATCAGGAACTACAAAACCGAATGCTCTGAAATCTTGCAGATGTTTTAAGGTCATAAAGAGCATAATAAATGTTTAGTCAAAATATATTTGCTTATCCCCTCCAAAAACTTGATGACGTCAGCTCGAAAGTTTGCCGAATAAATCATATCTAAAATGTACAAAATATGATGAGCCTGTACTTGTCATTTATCACTCCATTCATATTTTTTGGATTTGCATATACAGAGTGATCAAAAAAATTAATGAATGCGTAAATTTATTTTATTGATTTAATCAGGAACTACAAAACCGAATGCTTTGAAATCTTGCAGATGTTTTAAGGTTATAAAGAGCATAATAAATTTTTAGTCAAAATATATTTGGTTATCTTCTACAAAAAACTGATGACGTCAGCTCAAAAGTTTTCCGAATAAATCGTATCTAAAATGTACAAAATATGATGAGTCTGTACTTGTGATTTATCATTCCATTCATATTTTTGGATTTGCATATGCAGGGTGACTCAAAAAAATTAATGAAGGCGTGAATTTATTTTATCGATTTAATCAGGAATTACAAAACCGAATGCTTTGAAATCTTGGGAATATTTTAAAGTTATTATAAGCATGGTAAACTTTTGTTCAAAATGTATTTGTTCATCCCTCCTAAAAAAATTGATGACGTCACCCTTAAATTTTGCTGAATAAATCCTATCTAAAATGCAAAAAATATGATGAGTTTGTACTTGTGATTTATCATTCCATTCATATTTTTTAGATTTTCTTAAGAGGTGGTTCAAAAAAATTAATGAAGTCAATTTATTTTATTGATTAAATTAAAGGCAACACTTATTATTAGTATTACACCCCAAGCAACCCAATTTGGTAGACACAAAATTTGTTAAAGGAAAAACTCGGTTGAAACATAAGGGTAGCACGCTTATTTACATCGACTTTAACATTACAGACCTGCATTTGTTTTATGCGTTCACTTGATTCCGCGAATGTGAAATAGACATGTTTATAATCAACCCATTGTGAATTTCACCGTCAAGAATTAAAATAAAACCCAATGTTTTATATAATAAGCGGAAGTCGAAGCAATAAAACCGAAGGTCGTTTTGTTTACAGTTTCTGTGTTTGGCTCTCACGTATGCTGTTACGCCTGTCATCTTAAATTAACAATGTTTATACATACACGATTTTCAGTTGCCTCTGATACATAGGTATACGTGAGTAAATTGTTTCGTTATTTTATTGATTATTACAAATCAATATTCAAACGATCCAATTCATTTTCCCGAAAATTTGAGAATATAATAATTTTATTCTTAGTATTACACTACATCTATCCCAACTGATATACGTGTCCTTGCAAAAATGTTGATGACGTCATCGCAATTTTTTTTTAAATTCCCACTACAAAAATGTAATGAGAAAAAAAACACAATAGGCATGCAGTCGTCAAGTTTCCGACAGCGAGGGAAGTACTGTCTAAACTCTTTAGACCAATTTTTTAATGTTACGACTTTAAAATTTTTTGTTTTTTCAATTTAATTTTTTTCGATTTACCGATTTATCAATTTTCAGTTCATTCATGTTTTTTTAATTTTTAGATTTCTCGATTTATCTATTTTTCGACATTTGGCTTTTCGATTTTTCATTTTTCCAGTTTTCGACTATCGATGTTTCAATTTTTTCGAAATTTCAGTTTTGGGATTTTTCAGTTTTTTGATTCCTTGTTTTTTTATTTATCAGGTCTCGATTTTTTTCTATTTTCAAAATTTTCCCTTTTTCGATTTCCTGATTTTAATTTTATTTTATTAATTGAATTCTTCGATTTTTCAATTTCCCGTTTTTCTGATTTTTCAATTTTTTAATTTTTTGATTTTCTGATTTTTCAATTTTTGTTTTTTTTTATGTTTCAGTTTTTCGATTTTTTAAACTTTAAATTTTCTCCTTTCTTAATTTTTTGTGTTTTTTTCAGTACCTTCATTTTATCGAGATTTCCATATTTTCATTTTTCAATTGTTCAATTTACTGATTTTTCGATGAATTCGATAAACCAAAAATTGCAATTTCTCTATATTTCAATTTTTCGACTTCTCAACTTTTATATTTCTTGGTTTTTCGACTTTTCAGATTTTCGATTTTTCGTTTTTTCGTTTTTCCAATTTTTCGATGTTTCGAAATATAAATAGGCCAAAATCGAAAAGTTAAAAATGAAAAAAATTGATAAATCAAAACTTTGAAACATCTGAATCTCGATAAAGCGAGATCTCAAAAAATTGAAAAATCGAAAATTTAAAAATTCGGAAAACTGAAAAATTAAAATAGTTATAGAAGAACTGAAAAATCAAGAAATCAAAAAAAATAGAATTTTAAAAATTGGAAAATTAAATTAAAATATCGAAAGGTTGAAAAAGTGAAAAATCTAAAATTTAAAAAACGGAAAACTGAAAATACAAAAAATAAAAAATCGAAAAATCGAAAAGTCTAAGAATTGAAATATTGAAAAATCCCAAAACTGAAAGAAATTTCCAAAAATTGAAAAATTAAAAAAATCGGAAAATTGAGAAATCGAAAAACCAAAAAAGCAAAGTCGAAAAATCGAAGAATTGAAGAACTGAAAAATCGAAACTTTGAGAAGTCGAGAAAAAACAGATTAATTGAGAAATCGAAATCTGAAAATTTAGCAACGTCAAAATTTGAAAAATAGAAATACTGAAGAACTGAAAAATCAAAAAGTCGAGAGATCGAAAAATCTAAAATTTTAAACTGAAAAATCGGATAACTGAAAAATCGAAATATCGAAAAATTCAAAAACTGAGACATCGAGAAAACAAAAACCAGAGGATTGAGAAATCGAGGAGTCGAAAGCCGAGAAGAAAAGTTAATAAGTGGAAAATTGATAAATCGGGAAATTGAACAATCAAAACATCGAAACATCTGAATTCGATAAATCGAGAAATCAAAAAATTGAAAAATCGAAAAATTTTAAAAAAGAAAAATTGCAAAATCGAAAATTTAATAATTCGGAAAATTGGAAAATTGAAATATAGAACTGAAGACTCGAGGAATCGAAAAATTTAGAATTTTAAAAATTGAAAAACTGAAATATCGAAAGGTTGAAAAAGTGGGAAAGCGACATATAAAACAGTCGAAAAACTGAAAAATTTAAAGTTTAAAAAACGGAAAACTAAAAATCCAAAAAATAAAAAATCGAAAAACCGAAAAGTCGAATAATCGAAATGTTGAAAAATCCCAAAACTGAAAGAAATATCCAAAAATTGAGAAATCGAAAAATCGAAGAATTGAAGAACCGAAAAATCGAAACTGAGAAGTCGAGGGATGGGAAAATCAAAAATACATTAACTAAGAAATCAGAAAACTGGCAATTTAGCAACGTCAAAATTTTATAAATAGAGATAGTAAAGAATTAAAAAATCAAAAAATCGAGAGAAATCCAAACATCAAAAAATCAAAAAATAAAAATTCTAAAATCTAAAATTTAAAAACTGAAAAATCGAAACTTCCAAAATTCAAAAAGGGAGACCAGAGGATCGAGAAATCGAGGAGTCGAAAACCGAGAATAAAAGTTAATAATTGAAACATTGATAAACCAGGAACTTGAACAATAAAAAAATTGAAAAATCGAAGAATCGAAATATTGAAAAATCCGAAAACTGAAAGAAATATCCCAAAATTGAGAAATTAAAAAATTGGAAAATTGAGAAAGCGAAAAACCAAAAAGGTAAAGTCGAAAAATCGATGAATTGAAGAATTGAAAAATCGAAACTTTAAGAAGTCGAGAGATGGGAAAATCAAAAATAGATTAATTGAGAAATCGGAAAACTGAAAATTTAGCAACGTCAAAATTTGAAAAATAGAAATACTGAAGAAGTGAAGAGTCAAAAAATCGAGATTGAAAAATTTAAAATTTAAAACTTGAAGAATTAAAATATCCCAAAATTGAAAAATCGAGAAATCCGAACATCAAAAACTCAAAAAATAAAAATTCGAAAATCTAAAATTTAAAAACTGAAAAATCAAATAACAAACATCGAAAAATTCAAAAACTGAGACGTCGAGAAATCGAGGAGTCGAAAGCCGAGAAGAAAGGTTAATCATTCAAAAATCGAAGAATTTTAAAAAAGAAAAATTGGAAAATCGAAAATTTAAAAATTTGAAAAATTGGAAAATTGAAATATGAAACTGAAGACTCGAGAAGTCGAAAAACCTAGAATTTAAAAAAAAATAAATAATTGAAAAATAAAAAAATTGAGAAATCGAAGAAACAAAACAGTCGAAAAATTGAAAAATCTAAAGTTTAATGAAAAATTGAAAATCCAAAAAGTAAAAAATCCAGAAGTCCAAAAATCGAAAAGTCGAAAAGTGAAACTATTGAAAAATCCCAAAAAGAAATATCCAAAAAATTAAGAAATTGAGCAATCGAAAAACCAAAAATACAAAGTCGAAAAAACGTAAACTTAAAAAACCGAAAAATTGAAAAATCAAATAATTGAAGAATTGAAGTGAAAAATCGAAAATTTGGAAAGTCTACAAATGGGACAATAAAAGAAAGATTACTTCAGAAATCGGAAAACTGAAAATTTAGAAACGTCAGAATTTGAAAAATTGAAAAATCGAAATATTTAATAATCCCAAAACTGAAAGAAATATCCAAAAATTGAGAAATTAAAAAATTGGAAAATTGAGAAAACGAAAAACCAAAGAAGCAAAGTCGAAAAATCGAAGAATTGAAGAACTGAAAAATTGAAACATTGAGAAGTCGAGAGATGGGAAAATCAAAAATAGATTAATTGAGAAACCGGAAAACTAAAAATTTAGCAACGTCAAAATTTGAAAAATAGAATACTGAAGAAGTGAAAAATCAAAAAATCGAGAGATTGAATTATCAGAAAATAAAATTTCGAAAATCTAAAATTTAAAAACTGAAAAATCGGATAACCGAAAAATCGATACATCGAAAAATTCAAAAACTGAGACATCGAGAAATCGAGGAGTCGAAATCCGAGAAGAAAAGTTAATAATTGAAAAATCGAAGAATTTTAAAAAAGAAAAATTGGAAAATCGAAAATTTAAAAATTCGGAAAATTGGAAAATTGAAATATGGAACTGAAGACTCGAGAAATCGAAAAACCTAGAATTTAAAAAAAATCGAAAAATAGTCGAGAAATGGGAATCATTAAAAAAAAAATCGTGAAATCGAAAATTTGAAGAAAGGAAAAATTCAAAAAGTTCAAAATTAAAATATTGAAAAATTGATACATCTACACAGTTGAAAAACTGAGAAATCAAAAAGTCGAAAAAACTCAATAGCGTATTTATAAACCAGGAGTTCAGTTATGGTACTTTTTAACATTTAAGTGACATTTATTCGACAAAATTGTAAAATGACATCATACTTCCGATAACTATAATTTGGAAAACGCTGTTGGTTTTGTTTTTGTTTACAATTTATAATTGTCTTATTATTTCTTTTTTGTTATTATCATAAAAAAAATAAAAGGTGGATTTCAATCACCATCGTTAGGTGCGTGCAGTGTTGCCAATTTTACTTTAATAAAATTACGGTTTTTTCGTAATCTACATCATAAAGAGTTATTTTATTATCTTTTGGGACTCCCGAATCCGCTATTTTCCAGATACCCTGTATAAGACAGTTTTTATTTCAAGCAGTTTTAATAAGTGGTATTAGATTTAAAATTATTTTAAAGTTGACAATTATTCAAGCTGCGAACTTTGTTAATTTAAGTCCGAATAAAACTGTTGCAGTTGTAATGGAAAACGGCGCCTTGAAATAAGCCATTAAATAAGAAACGAACCTCCCCATCGAAACGGCCCTCATTTTAAGCACATTATCGAACAAAGTTAAAACGCGGCATTAAAACGTAAAATGTGAAACATCCTCCCGAAAAAAGATAATGAGAGTCTTCACGACCTCTTGCAAATTAACAGCGTTCTAAGCAAATTCCACCTTAGGCATCTTTGCTAAAACGATTATAACGTTCTTTTGTTGAACGCAGCTTGCTATCAAAGCCCTGTGAAACGGATAATCTCGTTCGGTGGCGAATAATACAGTTATAAACTCTTACAGGCTAATCAACTTAAAATTTAATAATAAACTTAAAGTTACTCCGTAAAAACTTCCACCGGCTGCCATTTTAACTAATTCGATTTTCTTTCTAATGATGGAACAGGGTTTTTCCGGGCGCTTATTAAAAACGCGTGTTGGTTTTTCCAGGAAGTGATACGGTTAGAAACGCAATATTGGACGCTTGTCGATATCCCCAAGCAAGAAAAACAGGAAACAGTACCCGCCTTTGTTCTCAGGGCCTGTGCCATCATGGAAAAAACGCAGAAGTCCGGGGAGGGCGTAAAAACGTCGGCGAAGCTGGCCGAGGAGGCGCAGGATAAAAGGGAAAGAATAGATCGCCTAGAAAGTAAGTCAGGTTACGGTTTCGGTATTCCAGTTTCAATATGACTGTATTGTGGATCCCGGTTTGACTTGGCAATGTCAAAATTTGATTTTTATATATTAAAATTTCATAGTAAATCGAATTATCTCTTGGGAACGGACTCTAGAAGGGCAAAGTTTTAATGCGCCCTTAAAATAATTTTCCATTTTCTCCTTGCAGACATGACGACTTCGCAAATCGAGGCGGAAAACACGCAGATCACTAACGACCTCTACAGGCTCCTGAAAAAGTACTCCGGCTTGAGAAACCTCATCCGGCAACTGAAAGTAAGTACTTCTCGCTACATACCCGAAATATGTATATGTGTTACATTTCTATATTAAAACATATCTACATTAATGACACATCCCCTTTTAAATTAAACAATTTTTGTAAATACACCTGAAAAGCTTTACTTATAAGCAAAATTTACAATTATGTTTTCATTCTAAACATTCAGTTTTTTGGAAAAACATATCAAAACTGTATAACAATATTTTGCAATTTAACATTGCAATTGCAAAACCAAATACTCTGAAATTTTGTAAACGTCTTAAGGTTATCGTAATCGTGGTAAATCGTCCATCAAAATTTATTCGTTTATCCTCTCCCAAAAATTTAGTGACATTATCCCAAAATTTTGCCTCTCTGAAGTGTGCAAAATATCATATACTTGTATACTTTGGCTTTCGTAATTTTTTCCAACTTTAATTTTTCATTTTTTCAACTTCTAGACTTCAGTTTTTCAAATTACAATTTTTCATTTTCTCGATTGTTTCATTTTCATTTTCCCAATTTAACAATTTTTCATTTTCTCATTTCCTTTTTTTTTCAGTGTTTCGTTCGATTTTATAGTTTTTCGTTTATAGAGTTCTTCAAACTTTCAATCTTGAGATTTCAATGGTTCGATATTCCGATTTTTTGCAATTTTTTAATTGTCAATAATTCGATTTTATAATTTTCCACTTTTTCGATTTTTAAGTTTCTCAAAATTTTTTGTAATTTTTCAATTTTTTCATTTTTCAGTGTTTCGATTTCGTAATTTTTCGTTTTTACATATTTAAATTTCTCAATTTTTCAATTTCTCGACTTCCAAATTGTTGAATTTTTCGTTTTTTCAATGTTTCGATCTCCAATTCTTCAATTTAACAATTTTTAAAATCACAATTTTTCATTTTTCGATTCTTCAGTTTCTCAATTTTTTTTTTCGATTTTATAATTTTTCGTTTATTTCATTCTTCAAATTTTCAGTCTTTTGTTTTTTCAATTGTTCGATTTTCCGATATTAAAATTTTTAAAACTTGCAATTTTTGAGTTTCCTGTTACCCGATTTTTTGTTTTAAAAATTTCGAATTTATAATTTTACACTTTCTCGATATTTAAGTTTCTCAATTTTTAATCTTTAGATTTTACAATTTTTTGATATCACAATTCTTCTTTTTTCATTTTAATTAATTTTCAATTTTTCCATTGTTTTGATTTCGCACATTTTCGTTTTTGCAAATTTAAATTTTTCAATTTTTCAACTTCTCGACTTCCGTTTTTCAAATTACAATTTTTCATTTTCTGGCTTGTTTCATTTTCATTTTCCCAATTTAACAATTTTTCATTTTCTCATTTCCTTTTTTTTCAGTGTTTCGTTCGATTTTATAATTTCTCGTTTATAGAGTTCTTCAAACTTTCAATCTTGAGATTTCAATTGTTCCATATTCCGATTTTTTGCAATTTTTTAATTGTCAATAATTCGATTTTATAATTTTCCACTTTGTCGATTTTTAAGTTTCTCAAAATTTTTTGTAATTTTTCAATTTTTTCATTTTTCAGTGTTTCGATTTCGTAATTTTTCGTTTTTACATATTTAAATTTCTCACTTTTTCAATTTCTCGACTTCCAAATTGTTGAATTTTTCGTTTCTTCAATTTTTCAATTTAACAATTTTTAAAATCACAATTTTTCATTTTTCGATTCTTCAGTTTCTCAATTTTTTTTTGCGATTTTATAATTTTTCGTTTATTTAATTCTTCAAATTTTCAATCTTTTGTTTTTTCATTTGTTCGATTTTCCGATATTAAAATTTTTAAAACTTTTTCGATATTTAAGTTTATCAATTTTTAATCTTTAGATTTTACAATTTTTTGATATCACAATTCTTCTTTTTTCATTTTATTTAATTTTTAAATTTTTCCATTGTTTTGGTTTCGCACTTTTTCGTTTTTGCAACTTCAAATTTTTCAATTTTCAATTTTTCGACTTTCCAATTTTTTCTTTCCTCAATTTTTCAAGTTCTTGATTTTTATTCTTCATTTTCCCGATTGTTTAATTTTAATTTTCTCGATTTTATATAACAATTTTTCATTTTTCGATTTCCTTAATTATTTCAATGTTTCTTTCGATTTTCATTTTTCGTGTATTCAAATTTTCAATCCTTGATTTTTCAATTATTCGATTTTCCTATTTTTAAATTTTTAAAATTTTTGCAATTTTTGAATTTCCAGTGTCCCGATTTTATAATTTTCCAATTTCCCGATTTTTAAGTTTCTCAGTTTGTAATCTTTCGATTTGACAATTTTTTAATGGGACAATTTTTCTTTTTTTCATTTTATTAAAATTTTCAATTTTTCTATTTTCGGAGTTTCGATTTCGTAATTTTTCATTTTTGCAACTTTAATTTTCTCATTTTTTCAATTTTACAACTTTTAGAATTACAATTTTTCATTTTTCGATTCTTCAGTTTCTCAATTTTTTTTGATTTTTCAATTTTTCGTTTCCTGAATTTTTCGAGTTCTTCATTTTTATTTTTCATTTTCCCGATTGTTTAACTTTCATTTTCCCCATTGTTTAATTTTCATTTTTCCGATTGTTTAATTTTAATTTTCTCGATTTTACGTAACAATTTTTCGTGTTTTCATTTCCTTCATTTTTTCAATTGTTCTCTGGATTTTATAATTTTTCGGTTATTCAAATTTTCAATATTTGATTTTTCAAATCTTCGATTTTCCAGTTATCCGATTTTTTAATTTTCAATATTTCGATTTTGAATTTTTCGACTTTCCAATTTTTCCTTTCCTCAATTTTTCAAGTTCTTGACTTTTATTCTTCATTTTCCCGATTGTTTAATTTTAATTTTCTCGATTTTATATAACAATTTTTCATGTTAACATTTCCTTAAATTTTTCAATATTTCTTTCGATTTCATAATTTTTCGTGTATTCAAATTTTCAATCCTTGATTTTCAATTCTTCGATTTTCCTATTTTTAAATTTTTGCAATTTTTGAATTTCCAGTTACCCGATTTTATCATTTTCCACTTTCCCGATTTTTAAGTTTCTCAGTTTTTAATCTTTCGATTTGACAATTTTTTAATGGGACAATTTTTCTTGTTTTCATTTTCTTAAAATTTTCAATTTTTCTATTTTCGGAATTTCGATTTCGTAATTTTTCATTTTTGCAACTTTAATTTTTTTAATTTTTCAATTTCTCGAATTCCAAATTGTTCAATTTTTTGGTTTTCAATTGTTCAATTTCTCTAATTACAATTTTTCATTTTTCGATTCTTCAGTTTTTCAATTTTTAGTTTTTCGATTTTTCAATTTTTCCTTTCCTCAGTTTTCAAGTTCTTGACTTTTATTTTTCATTTTCCTGATTGTTTAATTTAATTTTCTCGATTTTATGTAACATTTTTTGGTGTTTGCATTTCCTTTATTTTTTCAATGTTACTTTCGATTTTATCATTTTTCGTTTATTCAACTCTTAAAATTTTCAATCTTGAATTTTTCAGTTCTTCGATTTTCCGATTTTTTAATTTTCAATATTTCGATTTTATAATTTTGTTCATTTTCTGTAATTTTCATTTTTTCCATTTTTCAGTGTTTGGATTTCGTAATTTTTGGTTTTTACAACTTTAAATTTCTCATTTTTTCAATTTCTCGACTTTCAAATTGTTCAATTTTTCGTTTCTTCAATTTTACAATTTTTAGAATTACAATTTTTCATTTTTCGATTCTTCAGTTTCTCAATTTTTTTTCGATTTTTCAATTTTTCGTTTCCTCAATTTTTCGAGTTCTTCATTTTTATTTTTCATGTTCTCGATTGTTTAACTTTCATTTTCCCCATTGTTTAATTTTAATTTTCTATATTTTATATAACAATTTTTCATGTTTTCATTTCCTTTACTTTTTCAATTGTTCTCTCGATTTTATAATGTTTCGTTTATATAAATTTTCAATCTTTGATTTATCAATTCTTCGATTTTCCGGTTATTAAAGTTTTCAAATTTTTGAATTTCCACTTACCCGTTTTTTTTAATTTTCAATATTTCGATTTTGTAATTTTGCACTTTTTCGATTTTTCAGTGTTTCGATTTCGTAATTTTTCGTTTTCACTCTCGACTTGCAAATTTTTCAATTTTTCGATTTTCAATTATTCAATTTTGTAATTTTTCGTTTCCTCAATTTTTCAAGTTCTTGAATTTTATTTTTCATTTTTCTGATTATTTAATTTTAATTTTTTCGTTTTTATATATCTAATAATTTTTAATTTTTTCATTTGCTTTATTTTTTTAATGTTTCTTTCGATTTTATAATTTTTCCTTTATTCAATTTTTCAAATTTTGAATCTTTGATTTTCCAATTCTTCGATTTTTCAAGTTCTGGATTTCCAATTTTTCGATTTTTCAAAGTTTGCATTTATACTTTTTCGTGTTTTCATTTTCCCAATTTAACAATTTTTCATTTTCTCATTTCCTTAATTTTTTCAATGTTTCGTTCGATTTTATAATTTTTCGTTTATTGAGTTCTTCAAACTTTCAATTTTTGATTTTTCAATTCTTCAATTTTCCGATGTTTAAATTTTTCAATTTTTTGCAATTTTTTAATTTTCAATTTCCAGTTTTTCAATTTAACAATTTTTAGAATCACAATTTTTCATTTTTCGATTCTTCAGTTTCTCAAATTGTAATTTTTCAATTTTTCAAGTTCTTCATTTTTGTTTTTCATTTTCTCAGTTGTTAATTTTAAATTTCTCGATTTTATATAACAATTTTTCGTTTATTAAATTATTCAAATTTTCAATCTTGCAAATTTTTGAATTTCCAGTGTCCCGATTTTATAATTGTCCAATTTCCCGATTTTTTAATTTCTTAGTTTTTAATCGTTCGATTTGATAATTTTTTAATATCACAATTTTTCTTTTTTTCATTTTCTTAAAATTTTCAATTTTTCCATTTTCAGAGTTTCGATTTCGTAAATTTTCATTTTTGCAACTTTGATTTTTTTAATTTTTCAATTTC